CCAATCGAAGTTTAAACAAGCACACGGAGAAACCTGACCAGAGCCATCGACCGGCAGCAGAGAGACAGAGCGGGTTTAGGGTGACACCCAGAGAAAGGCTGCTCCCTACAGACTGTGCCCTTATCCTGCACTGGGGCCTGCTTAAAACGACAACACATCAGCTCGGATCAAGCACAAACATTTCTATACGTCTCAAGTTCCTCAGAGGGAGCACATTTTGATTCGCAATGAATAAAATCCATACATTCACATGGAGAGTGCAACATGCATTTAACCCAGGGTTGTCCGAAGAGCCATGACATATGAGAGCTGTATACGACTGTTACTAACTTTTAGAATAATTGGACAGCTGCATTTATCCTACGGTGGATCAATAAAGTAACTATCTATCTATCTGTATTAGTAAGAAATGCAAGTAAGGGTTTTAGGTCTTTTTTATGATAAGATGGCACTGCATTTATGATCTGGTTTGGTATTTAGAAGAGTGTAGTTCTGTCAAACATAAAGAAATTAAAATATGAAGATGTTTTATGGACAGGTGGCAATACTACAGAATTAATAAAAATTGAGTTGAGAATTGTGTTACAACTCGTCTCTATGAATTATTATAATCATTCTTATTGTACATACATATTATTTCAGTGCAAAAAAAACATTATCTATCCATCCATTTTCTTCCACGTTATCCATTGCCTGGTCATGCAGGCAGCAGTCTTCGCAGAGAGGCCCAGACTTCCTTCTCCACACACACACTTCCCGCAGCTCATCTGGGGGAATCCTGAGGCGTTCCCTGCTGAGACACAGTCCCTCTGAGTCCTGGGTCTGTCCCTGGTCTACCCTCAGTGAGACATGCCCAGAACACCTCCACAGAGAGACGTCCAGGAGGCCTCCCAAACAGACCCCTGAGCCTCCTCAACTGGCTCCCCTCGACATGGAGAAGCAGCAGCTCTACTCCGAGCTTCTCCTGTGTGACTGAGCTCCTCACTCTATCTCTAAGGGAGCTCCCAGCGACTCTGCAGGAAACTCATGTGGACATTATGTATCCACAATCTCGTCCTTTCGGTCAAATAAAATATAAAAAGTGCCTAAATACTTACTGGCTCTATGTGTTTTTTATGCATTTCCTGCTTTTTAACTGTTTGATTTTATGACTCTTTGTAAAGTCTTGTTCTCCAAGAAAACAAATGTTGTGATTTCAGGTTACACAAAAAGACATTGAATTGAATTACTACAAACTTTTTACATGTCATTTTACTTATTTTGTCACAGTCTTGACCTAGTGCTACTGTGTGTTACTGCTGCACGTTTACACACACACACACACACACACACACACACACACACACACACACACAGACACACACACACGGACACACACACACAGACACACACACACACACACACACTCAGACACAGATACACGCACGCACACACAAACAGACACATACAAACAGACAGACATACACACACATACACACTAAAACCCGCGCACGTGCACAGACACAGACACACATATACACACACACAGACACACACACAGAGACACATACACAGACACAAACACACACACACACACACACACACAGACACAGACACACGTACACACACACACACACACACACACAAAGACACTTACACACACACACACAGACAGACACAGACACACACACACACACACACACACACACACAGAGAGACACAGACACACACACACACAGAGAGACACAGACACACACACACACAGACATAGACATAGACACAAGCACAGACACAGACACACAAATAGACACACACACACAGACACACGCACACACAGAGACACAGACACACAAATAGACACACACACACACACACACGGTGCATAAAACATAAAATCATATCTGACAACACCAGCTGCTGCTTCACTCATCCCGCCACAGAACTCCACAATCAGCCTCCACTTTTCTCCCCAGAATCCTCACGACTCAGCACTATATATTCTTTTAATAAACTGCAAATTGCCTCCAATAAAAAAAGCTGTGAGGCTGTAAGCGTTTGATTTTATGAGCTCGATATTACGAAGCCGCCGAGTTGGGGAGGAGGCACCCAGGGGTCCGCAGTGTGTGTGACCGCAGCGTTATAAAGCAGCAGTCTGGGCTTTTTCTCTTCCAACTCCGGCACATTTCACCTCATTTATCCAGCGGCGAGAAGCTGAAAGTGACCGCAGACTTGTGCCCACACCCAGCACTGATATTGTTTGGGTCTGCGTTGGTGTCAGGGTGGTTTTAACAGCGGCGGAGGGACGGGCGGACGGTGCACGGGGTTCATAAAGAGCGTTTTTTATGATCGTGGGGAGAGATGTGATCCGAGAGAGATTAAGGAATGAGTTTGGAAATGAACTATTGTTGCAAACCCGGGATGTAATTGGTGCAGAAAAGTCATGTTAGCGGCTGCTGTGAGCTAGCATCTGGTTCTGGTTTGAAACAGGTCTGAGTGACAAAGCTGAAGGCATTGGTTATTTATGTTTTATACACGATCGAAATGTGTTTGAAAAATGTCTTTACTGCACAGAAGAGAACAGGTCTTGCCCACCGTGGGACCAATGAAGGTTCTCGTATCCATAGCAACACAGTGTAACATTGTGGTATCGCAGTAAAGAGTTTTTTATAATGTGTTTTAATGGACATTTTTAAATATGTTTTTCACTTTTAAGCAGACAAACAGACAGACACAGACATAAATTAATGTCTAAAAGGATCTAAATTACACAAGGCTGTTCAAGTTATGAAATGTCATCAAAATCCAGCTTATTATTTAGGGTTTAATCACTTCATTTTGAGGAGACATTAATATCTAATTTATATACTAATTTATTAATTTATTTTATTTTTATTTTTATTTTTATTTTTTTGGTCTTAGTTCTTTCAGCTGGAGCAAAGAGACATATTTTTTCATGAAATACTATTACTTGCGTTTTTGGGTTCATTGTTGAGAGTAAAATGATTTATGTAAATGTTTTCCTGAGAAGAATAGCTTTAAAATGAAGAACAACATGGCATGGTAGAAAATGGACCAGATGGAAAGACGGCCTTCACTTCTTCTCCCCGATCTCTACTTTTGTCCAATAAAAACTAAAATATCGTCAATTTTTTTCAACACAAGGACTGTGTTTTCCTGATCTGCATTAGTTTAATCACCGCTGAGAGCTGTATCTTTCTAACAGCACGAGGCGGGACTGTGGCTCATCACACGTTTGTTTGTTCACGTCGGACTTCTCTCTTTGATGGATGAAGACCCGTGATGTGGTCTCACACGTGATCCCACCTCAGTGTGAAGACCACCCAGGATTGACTTCAACACCTTTTCAAACCAATATCTGTTTTAGTGATGTGTGTGAAAATATATACTGTGCAGTTTGGAAATAAATAATGACATACACATACACATATACAAATACAAATACAAATACAAATACATATACATATACATATACATACAGTGGGGCAAAAAAGTATTTAGTCAGCCACCAATTGTGCAAGTTCTCCCACTTAAAATAATGACAGAGGTCCGTAATTTTCATCATAGGTACACTTCAACTGTGAGAGACAGAATGTGGGGAAAAAATCCAGGAAATAAAATTGTAGGATTTTAACAGAATTTATTTGTAAACTATGGTAGAAAATAAGTATTTGGTCAATAAAAAAAATTCAACTCAATACTTTGTAATATAACCTTTGTTGGCAATAACAGAGGTCAAACGATTACTATAGGTCTTTACCAGGTTTGCACACACAGTAGCTGGTATTTTGGCCCATTCCTTCATGCAGATCTTCTCGAGAGCAGTGAACACAGACTTTTAACTCCCTCCACAGATTTTCAATGGGGTTGAGGTCTGGAGACTGGCTAGGCCACTCCAGGACTTTCAAATGCTTCTTACGGAGCCACTCCTTCGTTGCCCGGGCGGTGTGTTTGGGATCATTGTCATGCTGGAAGACCCAGCCACGTTTCATCTTCAAAGGTCCCATTCATTCTTTCCTTAACACGGATCAGTCGTCCTGTCCCTTTAGCAGAAAAACAGCCCCAAAGCATGACGTTTCCACCCCCATGCTTCACAGTAGGTATGGTGTTCTTGGGATGCACCTCAGTATCCAAACACGACGAGTCGAGTTTATACCAAACAGTCCTACTTTGGTTTCATCTGACCTCATGACATTCTCCCAATCCTCTGCTGTATCATCCATGTGCTCTCTGGCAAACTTCAGACGGGCCTGGACATGCACTGGCTTCAGCAGGGGGACACGTCTGGCACTGCAGGATTTGATTCCCTGTCGTCGTAGTGTGTTACTGATGGTAACCTTTGTTACTTTGGTCCCAGCTCTCTGCAGGTCATTCACCAGGTCCCCCCGTGTGGTTCTGGGATTTTTGATCACGGTTGTCATGATCATTTTGACCCCACGGGATGAGATCTTGCGATCGAGGGAGATTATCAGTGTCTTGTATGTCTTCCATTTTCTGATAATTGCTCCCACAGTTGATTTGTTCACACCAAGCTGCTTGCCTATTGTAGATTCACTCTTCCCAGTCTGGTGCAGGTCTACAATTCTTTTCCTGGTGTCCTTCGACAGCTCTCTGGTCTTGGCCATAGTGGAGTTTGGAGTCTGACTGTTTGAGGCTGTGGACAGGTGTCTTTTATACAGATAACCAGTTCAAACAGGTGCCATTAATACAGGTAACGAGTGGAGGACAGAAGAGAAGTTACAGGTCTGTGAGAGCCAGAGATCTTCCTTGTTTGAAGTGACCAAAACTTCCACCATAATTTACAAATAAATTCTTTAAAAATCCTACAATGTGAATTGCTGGATATTTTTTCACATTCTGTCTCTCACAGTTAGAGTGTACCTATGATGAAAATTACAGACCTCTGTCATTATTTTAAGTGGGAGAACCTGCACAATCGGTGGCTGACTAAATACTTTTTTGCCCCACTGTATACATATACAGTACATATAGAGTGTAGTTACCTTTGCAGCGCTCGCAGCAGGCGCCGGTTTGCTTCACCACCAGAGCACAGTCCTCTGACACCGCCGGACACTTCTCCTGTTTACAGTCTGCCTTCCCCTCCTGCAACAACACAGACAAGTTATAATGATAATAATAATAATAATAATAATAATAATAATAGTAATAATGCATCAGTTTTATAAAGCGTTTTTTCTTGGACACTCAAAGACTCTTCACATACAATACAATACCATTTATTCTTGTATAGCCCTAAGTCACAACAGCATCATCTCAGAGACTTAACAAAACCATTGAAATCACCAACACAGGTCAGAGAATCAACAGTTAAGACACAGAAAGAACATAGAACACATGTTGATACAGTAAATGTCATACATGTTGTAGATCCAGTGTCCTGGATCATCTCCACAGTCCTTGGACACTAACTGCCCAACAGACTCACAAAAACCCAGTGGGGAAAAAGTGAGGATCCCTCTCTCAATCCAGGATCCAGGACCTAAGCTACAGAACAAGGACCAGGACCACGCAGCGGCCACAGAACATGTCATTATTTTCTCACTCTAAACACGGTGGTGATAAACTGCTACTGTAGCCACAGCTGCCCTGGGGCACACTGACAGAAGCGAGAGGCAGCCAGTCTGTGCCATCAGCCCCTCCCACCACCACCAACCACTCACACACAACAGACTTCTTAATTATATTGCTGCTGGTCCTTCTACTACTGTTACTACTTCTACTGATTCTGCTACTACTGCAATTGGTACTCCTACTACTGCTACTACTGCTACCGCTGCTGCTGCTGCTACTGCTGCTACTGCTGCTGCTGCTACTGCTACTACTGCTACTACTGCTACCGCTGCTGCTACTGCTGCTGCTGCTGCTGCTGCTGCTGCTGCTGCTGCTGCTGCTGCTGCTGCTACTACTGCTGCTGCTGCTGCTACTGCTGCTGCTACTGCTACTACTGCTACTACTGCTACCGCTGCTGCTGCTGCTGCTGCTGCTGCTACTGCTACTGCTGCTGCTGCTACTGCTACTGCTGCTACTACTGCTACTACTGCTACTGCTGCTGCTGCTACTGCTGCTACTACTGCTACTACTGCTACTACTGCTGCTGCTGCTACTGCTACTGCTGCTACTACTGCTACTACTGCTACTGCTGCTGCTGCTACTGCTGCTACTACTGCTACTACTGCTACTACTGCTGCTGCTGCTGCTGCTACTACTGCTACTGCTGCTGCTGCTGCTACTGCTACTACTGCTACCGCTACTGCTGCTGCTGCTACTGCTGCTGCTACTGCTACTACTGCTACTACTGCTATCGCTGCTGCCGCTGCTGCTGCTGCTGCTGCTGCTACTACTGCTACTGCTGCTGCTGCTGCTGCTGCTGCTGCTGCTGCTGCTGCTGCACACTGCCACTGCTACTGCTGCTACTGCTGCTGCTGCTGCTGCTACTGCTGCTGCTGCTACTACTGCTACTGCTGCTGCTGCTACTGCTGCTGCTGCTACTACTGCTACTGCTACTGCTGCTGCTGCTGCTACTGCTGCTGCTGCTACTGCTGCTACTACTGCTACTACTGCTGCTGCTGCTGCTGCTGCTACTGCTACTACTGCTACTACTGCTACCGCTGCTGCTACTGCTGCTGCTGCTGCTGCTACTACTGCTACTACTGCTACCGCTGCTGCTGCTGCTGCTGCTGCTACTGCTGCTGCTGCTACTGCTGCTGCTGCTACTACTGCTACTGCTGCTGCTGCTGCTGCTACTACTGCTACTGCTGCTGCTGCTACTGCTGCTGCTACTGCTGCTGCTGCTACTACTGCTACTGCTGCTGCTGCTACTACTGCTACTGCTGCTGCTGCTGCTGCTACTGCTACTGCTGCTGCTGCTACTACTGCTACTGCTGCTGCTGCTACTGCTGCTGCTACTGCTGCTACTACTGCTACTGCTGCTGCTGCTACTGCTGCTGCTGCTACTACTGCTACTACTGCTGCTGCTGCTGCTACTGCTGCTGCTGCTACTGCTGCTACTACTGCTACTACTGCTACTACTGCTACTACTGCTGCTGCTGCTGCTGCTGCTACTGCTACTACTGCTACTACTGCTACCACTGCTGCTACTGCTGCTGCTGCTGCTGCTGCTGCTACTACTGCTACTACTGCTACCGCTGCTGCTGCTGCTGCTGCTGCTACTGCTGCTGCTGCTACTGCTGCTGCTGCTGCTACTGCTGCTGCTGCTACTGCTGCTGCTACTGCTGCTACTGCTGCTACTACTGCTACTACTGCTGCTGCTGCTGCTGCTGCTGCTGCTGCTACTGCTGCTACTACTGCTACCGCTGCTGCTACTGCTGCTACTACTGCTACCGCTGCTGCTACTACTGCTACTGCTGCTGCTACTGCTACTGCTGCTACTAATGCTGCTGCTGCTGCTGCTGCTACTACTGCTGCTACTACTGCTACTACTGCTGCTGCTGCTGCTGCTGCTGCTGCTGCTACTACTGCTACTACTGCTGCTGCTACTACTGCTACTACTGCTACTACTACTACTGCTGCTGCTGCTGCTGCTGCTACTACTACTGCTACTACTGCTACTACTACTGCTACTGCTACTACTGCTGCTACTACTGCTGCTGCTGCTGCTGCTGCTGCTACTACTGCTACTGCTACTGCTACTGCTGCTGCTGCTGCTGCTGACAGGTGGCAGGTTGGTGGTGTAGATCCAGGCTCAGTGCTATTTAAAAACTCCATTGTTTGTGACACAGATTTATCCACAAAGACCTGAAGTGAAACTGTCCTGGACCAGAGCAACGACCTCTGACCTCTGACCTCCGACCTGAGCCCTGTATCACACACATCTGTAAATAAATTCTATAATGACAAATTCTCACAAATGACAAAAACGCAGCTGAATTTACATTGAAACTATGTCCTCATCTTTTGAATGCGCTGGAAACGGCAGCAAGTCCTAAGTGTCTCTGAAACAGTTTTCTTGCTTTTTTCTGCCTGAGATGTTGCTGCAGTACAGTGTTCATGGTTTTGCACTGGTCCAGACCAGAGCAGAGAGGATTCATGGTTTTACACTGGTCCAGACCAGAGCAGAGAGGATTCATGGTTTTACACTGGTCCAGACCAGAGCAGAGAGGATTCATGGTTTTACACTGGTCCAGACCAGAGCAGAGAGGATTCGTGGTTTTACACTGGTCCAGACCAGAGCAGAGAGGATTCATGGTTTTACACTGGTCCAGACCAGAGCAGAGAGGATTCATGGTTTTACACTGGTCCAGACCAGAGCAGAGAGGATTCGTGGTTTTACACTGGTCCAGACCAGAGCAGAGAGGATTCATGGTCCGAACCAAGCGGATCAGATGGAAATTCACTGAAGGATGCTAACTTTTTGAAAAATGCTAATGAAGCATTTTTTGGACCAGAGCAGAGAAAATTGTCAGAACCAAGCGGCTACTCCACCTTGTGACCTGTCCTGCTCTACCGAGAGGCTACTCCACCTCTGCTGCTGTGATCCGTCCTGCTCCACCCAGAGGCTACTCCACCTCTGCTGCTGTGACCCGTCCTGCTCCACCCAGAGGCTACTCCACCTCTGCTGCTGTGACCCGTCCTGCTCCACCCAGAGGCTACTCCACCTCTGCTGCTGTGACCCGTCCTGCTCCACCCAGAGGCTACTCCACCTCTGCTGCTGTGACCCGTCCTGCTCCACCCAGAGGCTACTCCACCTCTGCTGCTGTGACCCGTCCTGCTCCACCCAGAGGCTACTCCACCTCTGCTGCTGTGACCCGTCCTGCTCCACCCAGAGGCTACTCCACCTCTGCTGCTGTGACCTGAAGGGCTGTTGCTGCTATTGGACTGCTGAATTTCTCCAACGGGGATCATTAAAGTATCTATCAAACTGGGGACCGTAGCTTTGTAGTGGGGACACCAAGATAACCAGTTTTTCCATTTCTTCTTGTATCGCCCCGAATCACAACAGTAGTTACACACAGCTGTCGATTTGCCAACAACAGATCAGAGAATCAAACCGGTCAAACTCAAGAAATGCAGTGATACCAAACAGAGAGAGACGTTGGTCCATACGGAGCAGAGACCAATGTCTATAAATATTGATAAAGTCCGTCTTATCGAAGTTTGCTCATAGCTCATCTTTCACACACTGGGGGAGTCTTGCACAGTCTTTCCAATGTGGTTTTACTGCAAATGGCAAATCAATTCTTGTATCTCGTGTTATGCACCTATATCTATCTTTTGTACATGATTTTTTGGTTTATTGGTTGTGGTTTTTTTTTGTAGTTTTTACATTGAAGCAGAACTAGACCTAAGCTCCCTACGATAAACAGATGGAATAGTTTTGATGAAATGTTACTAATTGTGTTTTGGGTTCATTGTTGAGAGATAGAGAAATGAAATGTTTTCCTGAGAAGAATATGTTTGAATTGAGGATCGATGCCAGAAAAAAACCCAGTCACGATGAAGAGGATTCTGTTCCTGAACCAAAGCAGAGACTCACCGGGACTTGAGCCTCAGAGTTTTTCTAAATCCTCTCATTTATTATTTAACACACTACATTATTAGAGCGACGGCAAAACAAACAAGGCCAGAACGTGCAGAGTCAAGAAAGAGGAAAGAAACACGACTTGAAATTTATGAGCAAAGATTTCATTTTTGATTTAATATTTGTAAAGACCACAAACGGGCAAAGCTTTGAGTTTGTAGTTGAGAAGATTCTAGAGTCTTAGCCAAAGTCACTGCTGGGATCGCAGGGGTTTTATTATTATTATTATTATTTATTTATTTATCTGTTTTTAATTCAACAAAACCCTGGATCCTTTTGCTTTCACTTCAAATGTAGTGTTTCAGAAAATGTCTCTCCGCGGCCTTGCACCAAGGTACATCTGAGACATGTTAGTGCCAAATGAACCAATGAGGACTCTGAAGAGCACAGGGACTGGTCTCCTGCTGAGACTCTGAGGAGCACAGGGACTGGCCTCCTGCTGAGACTCTGAGGAGCACAGGGACTGGCCTCCTGCTGGGACTCTGAGGAGCACAGGGACTGGCCTCCTGCTGGGACTCTGAGGAGCACAGGGACTGGCCTCTTG